TTCTGATTCTGAGCTAATGTAGTTTTACTGGAGGAAAGAAAGGGCTAACTATGAGACTTTGCTGTACATAACTAACAAAGTTTACCAACATGTTGTAACTGAAATAGCTGGTTCAATCTACATTTTTCTAATAATTCTTGCACTAATATACACTATATTTTTCTAATAATTCAACATGGGTACATGGCTAATGCTTGCACCAATTTAGGAAGCATAACCTTTCAGCTATGTTGAAGAAATCTTATTAGTTTAGATAGGAAGAATACCAGTTTCAAAATTTTCTCTAGGCAAATGTCACTCATTAGTTATTCAAAGTTTGTAATTGGCTTTGTTATGGGATTTCTTTGAGCAGATTGAAATTTACAAACCCCGTGTTACAAGGTGTAGAAGTTTTCTGAGAACTTCATACTGCTACATGTACAATTTCTCATGCACAAATATAACAGTCATTCTATATATCCTTCTTGCCTTTTATTTGAAATATATATATATAGATATATATATATATTTCTTGCCTTATTAATACTGAAATTGTTTTTATGAAAAAAATGATATTGAAATTATTGAACTTTCTATGGAGCTCTTATTACAACCATAGATTTAGTACTTGAATAAAGGGGTTTAAGTTCTGCCGTGCTTGTGCATCTCAAAAAAGTTCCAGATTGCTTATTAAGCATCTATGAACTCTTAAAGTAGTTATCTCACAAGCAGCAATTTTACTTTGTTAAGATATATTTCCATTTTGAAAATTTAATCAGTATAATGTCTCAATTATGCCTCCTTGTTCGGAACTGTTTGTTCCTGTGCCTTTAAAAATGAATGATTAAGAGCTTGTCTCCCGTTCGACAGTCCAGCCTCCATGAAGCAGAAGCATGGTTTTGTAATTTAGGCTGTCTGGTCGGAAAGGATCCCGAGCCTGATTACTGCATATTGATTCTTAACCCCAGTCTAAATAGGACAAAAGGGAGCTCCTATGGTAATACCTTAGGTGCCTTCCCAGGGTCACTGATGGACTGAATGTTGCAAGTCTTGGAATCTTGTGTCAACTTGGAAGCCTGGAGATTATTTATTGAACCTCCCAACATAAGCATTAAAAGTAGTGAATCGACATTTCTGAGAATTATGACAATTCTTTGCTGTTATGTTAAAAATTGTATCATTCACTATGCAGATATTCGGATTTGCTATTTATTCTATTGAAAGTCTTATAACCATTATTTACTTTTGAGGCTACCAAATCCTCTGACAATTTTCTTATTTTCTCTTATTTCTATGATGAGTTTTAGAGTTGAATTCTCTTCAGGTGACAAATGACATATTCACCAAAGAAGATGGTGAGTTCTTGGTGAAGAATGGAGCACTTCCGGAGGAACGGATACGGGCAGTGGAGACAGGTGGCTGTCCACATGCTGCAATCCGTGAAGATATTAGTATTAATCTTGGCCCGCTCGAAGAGCTTTCTAACTTGTATAAGACAGATATTCTTCTTTGTGAATCTGGGGGAGGTAAATGCTTGTTAAAGTCTTTTCTTTATATCTATTTTTTTGCTGAACTGTTGACTTCAAGCTGGACAGCTATAAACAAATCAAAACTTTTTGGGAAAAAGTACTGAACTTTATTGGATAGTGATCGCTAATGAGTCATGGTTGACTATCATGTCTCTTGGAAATATTTCTGCAGCTCATAAATAAGTCAGAACTCAACTTGGTCAAAATTTTGATCCTGATACGCATCAATCTGTAGTTTGTCTTCTTAAATGGCGCTTCTGGTGAAACTAATTTCTCATTGATCTTTGCAAAATTTGTATGGTTGCAGATAACCTAGCTGCTAACTTCAGCAGAGAACTGGCTGATTATATAATCTATATAATCGATGTATCTGCTGGTGACAAAATTCCTCGGAAAGGCGGCCCAGGCATTACTCAAGCTGATCTTTTAGTATGTGATGTTTTGTATTGACGGATACTGCTGTCCTACAGTTGTCGGATCTTTTTGCTTGCCAAACATGCTATGCATTTTGATTTTAAAATGTATTCTTGGATTTTGCTACAGGTAATTAATAAGACTGATCTCGCACCAGCAGTTGGTGCGGACTTGTCTGTCATGGAGCGTGATGCACTTAGGATGCGCGATGGAGGGCCATTTGTCTTTGCCCAGGTTGATCATAGTTCTTTGTTCCTTTCTCTTGTGAAATAGGGGTGTTTGTTAGCTAAAACTTTTAAAACAAAGACGAGTTCGATATTTTAAAAAGTATGTTTTAATGTAAAATTAACATAAACTTTATTTAAAAATAAAATATATAAAATAATTTGTTTGACTCTTCTAACTATAAAACCAAAAAAATAACCAAACCTAATATAAAACTAACTCTCAAACTAATACGAAAATTAATTAAGAGAACAACAGAGTATTCATTTTTGGTCAAGACTGGAGCAGAAATGGAACGATTCAGAGTCAGATGGGAAGACTACATCAGACTTTAGTTTGGTCTAGTTCGGACTGGTGAAAACACCCAACCGAGATCTTCTTCGTTATACATTACTCAATGAATTCAGCTCTTTTTCAGAGCCAAACACCGAGAAAATCTCCATACGATGGTGAACTTTTTTGCTTTCTTTTTCATTGAAATATCAACACTGAAATGTGGTATTCTGCAGGTGAAGCATGGGGTTGGAGTGGAGGATATTGTGAACCACATTTTGCAGGCTTGGGAAGTAGCAACAGGCAAGAAGCAGCATTGACGTTCGAATGAGATACTACAGTCTGGTTCGATTTAATGCTGTGTTTACAAAATGAGGGAACGAAAATTCCCTTTTCAGAACGATGAAAGATTGAACTCTTCTGCTGTGTTTCGATTCGGATTCCACTTAATTTCTAAGTAATTTCTTGTGTTCTTGTTCTTGTTCTTGAGATTTTTTGTTTTGTTGGATTTTGCAGAATACAAACAAAATGGTTTTCCAATTAAAGGCTAAATTTTAAAACCTTGATTAATTACATATGTATGAGTAAAACAACCAACCTGTTCCTTTTATCTTAAACTAAAATCACAGTTATTACAATGGCAGAATCTGAAGAAGAAAAGGGATTAAACCATATATATACATGTATGTACATGTATATATTATATGTATTTGCTTGTATATATTAGCTGCTCCAAATCTTAAACTATGTAGTAAATTTAACTTTTATTAAAAATGTAAAAATTATTATTTTATAAATTTATTAATATATTAATAAAAATATAATTTTAATAAATATAATATATATATATATATATATATATAGGCTAAGCCTGAGACCAATTAAAACGTCTACAAACGAAAAAACCAACAAACTTGGGAAGCAGGAACTTTTGATCAGTCGGATTTTCATAACGAGCACAAGAAGTAACGGAACCAATCCAGCTCTCTAAAAAAGAAGAAGAAATCGAAGAATCATCGACTGTTTTTGTATATATAATCACATACCTTTACTTCTGCATCATATAAAGGGAGGGAATTGGGGAGACAGAGAGGGAGGAATGGGAGGGGAAGAGGAAGGAAAGAAGAGGGTGGTGATGGAGTCGCTAGGATGGCTAACGGAATCATCTATAATGCCTAAGAAGCACCGCGCTATCGAGGGGGTCGGTGCTTCCTCCATTTTGGAGCTCAAGGCCCAGTTATATCAGTCCCAACTTGACTTCAAAAAGTCCAAAGAACTCGCGGGTCCTGATATCCAATTCCACCGCGCCAAAGCCAAGATCACTACACCTGATACCTTCTCCCAGAAGAACTCCGGCGTCGAAGCTCGTGCTCACAAGTATGTGTTCCATTTCTTGTTTTTCTAATCATCTCTGAATTTTTCTTATTATTGAAATAGGGTTAGGGTTTCCTTCGTTTTTCTTTTATCTAAATTCTTGTATCCCAACTTAATCGCACATTAACCCGTAATTAGTCAGCTTCGAAGTTGTTCTCAAATGAAGCAAAGAAAAAAGATTTTATATAAAGTGATTATTGGGAATGAATATGATAATAGTTACTATATCAATGGAGTTTATAAATCCAACTGGTTGATGCTTTACTTTCTTATTGTTTCTGTAGCGTATGGGTAGTCTGCTATTGCTAACTTAAACTCCATTTGATTGTCTAAAAAAAAATTTTAATCTGCATTCCAAGTGATGCTTGATAGTTGGAGCAGATAATGCACTTTAGGGGAATGCATAGTATTGGGTTGACTTGATAAGTTGGAATTTTAGCAAGCGGTAGACTCTTAATAGAATTTGTGTCCTTGTGCCTTTAAATTTTAGAGTTCATGAATAACTAGACCCAGCGTCCTTTTATTTGAAGTACAACTCTGGTTAGAGTTGTTGTTGTGGGGGTAGTTCTTTCTTGCTTTATGTGGTCTTTTGGCAGGGGATCAAGGTAGAAAGGTTGAATGCAAAGTGTAGGTCCTTGTTCTAGTGCTGAGACAAAGTAAGGAGCTACAGCTCATACTGTTTTGTGGATTATTGTGGTTTATAGCATTTTTGTAGCAACTAAGTTTTGTTTTGATTAAAAAGAAGCTTTTGCAATTATATTGTGATATGTGCCCTCTCTAATATTGCCAACAATCTGACTTTCATAACGTGCGAATACACAATGGGGCAGACTGCCATTTTATTCTGGAGAAGGTTGTTCATAGGAGATTATAACACAATATGTGCATATCTAGTAAGATGGCTAGTTGGATGTTGACTCTTTTAGCACCATCAGAGAATCACTATTGCATTCATAGAGACAAGGGCGGTGATATCATAGGTCGGTCTGCTTCTTGCTCACAGAATTACCTTGTAGATACAACTTTTCATATAAAGGGTTTCAGATAACAAATTCTACTGAGTAATACATTTTCTGTTTTAATATTTATGTGCTGTTTTACTTTGAAAAGGTGGCTACTAAACTGGCCATCTCAAACAAGGACTCTCTAGAATGTTTTACTCTTCAATGTTTGTTCTAGTCATTTCGTATTTCCTTTTTGTTGGGGAAAATATTTGTATTTCTTTCTTAAATAATAGAAACAATTTCTTCTTTCAGTCTGCAAACTCTACGTCTTATATATACATACAGATATGATATTTGTCTGTGCATTAATGCATTTGATGTAATTGGCTATAAATCCCTGCAGATATTGTTGCTAAGATGGATAATTTTTTCATATCTGACTGTAGGGACAAGCTTGAGCTTAAAGCAGTTAATGATGGGTCAGCTAGTTATGCAGCATTGGAGAAGAAGGCTGAGTTATACGAAAAGCTTGTAAGGGGGGAGCTGTCTGATGAGGAGGATGAAGAGAAATATTGTGTTGATTTCTTCCGCAAGGGTCTTGAGCAGGATGAATCACAACAGTCACAAGCACATGATATTTCAGTATCAGAACCACCTGTAGATGAAGATGGTGAGAATACTGCTTTTTTATTCGACAAAAAATTTGTGGGACCTGGGAGGACTACTGGAACAGTGGACAACAATGAACACAAGCGTTTGGTGAGGTAAAGACTGCTATTTTTCTTTTGCATTTGTAAGGAGTTCATACTATTCTTTGTTTCTAGATATGTGGATATACTGTTTACATGTTGTCCTAAAACTAATTTTATGGCCTTGTTACGGATCATTTATTATTATTATTTTTTCTTGCCCAAAAGGTCAAATTAACATCATGAGATCATAATTTGAAAGTGGATAAATTTATTTTGGTATATTTGAAGTGTTTATTAAGCTTTTGATCAGGAAAAAAATTTAGTATTTTCTTTTCTTTGAGTAATGGGAAGGGGAGTAAAGGATGGAGGAAGGATTCTAGATTTTGGGAAAGGGAGAGGAGTATGAAGTTGGGAGGGTCCAAAGTAAGACCTGGGGAAAGCAAATGATGCTGCTAACATATGAAAAAGTACTAAGCAGTTTGACAAAACATAAGGTTTGTAGTTTTGTGCGAGCACTACCTAGGTTGCTTTCTTAAGGACATTGTCTGGTGTACGAGGACTGAATTGCTGGATTGAGTTTAATGTGGGCTAGGAGAATAATTTTATTTGAAAATAGATATATGTTGACTAAAGCTTTATTATTATTATTATTATTTTTCTAAGGAAAGACTACAGTTTTTTTTTTAAATCAAGAAAAGAGTATAGTTTATTTTACCACTAACACAATGTTGGTGTTTTGCTTATTTACTCTGAACACAGTAAAATAGATATTAAGGACATCTTGGAAAGTGTATGCTTTGGCTTCTACATTTGCTTATATGTGGTGCACTGATGGAGTTGTTAACTTTGTATATGTGATCAGGCTGGTAGAAGACACAATGTTGTTTATGTTAAGCATAATTCTTGCAATAGTTAGGAAATCATGACCTTGTAGCGATGGACGCCTTCTATTATAGATTTCTTTTTCAAGCTTCCATTGAAATTTTCTTGTCGAGCTTCAATCAAAAAATTTTCCTGTAGAGCAATTAATATGTATGTAGACAGTAAGATCTCGTGTCGTGTTTATGAAAAGTTAGTGGCAGCACTGACACTCATTGCTGTAAATTTTAAACAAAATCCCGTCGGAAAAATGATGTTTTTTTTGCCAGATCCATTGTAAGGAAAGCTAAAGCCATGAACTTTTATGTCTGTTTGGATGATATTTTCTTCTTTTCTCTCTCTCTTTCTCTCTCTCTCACTCATTGCTTTAAGTAAATCACTGTGGTAACTGTCTGATATCAAGACCTAGTCCCTGACTATCTTGGTTATGGATTTCTTCAGGGAAGTTCACGAAGAAGCAAATCAAGCAAGAGAAAAAGTGTCAGAGCTGAAACTGCACAGGCAGGAACAAGCAGCGGCACGGCGTGAGAAACTGCGACAGGCGTACCTTCGTAAACAGCTGGAGAAGCTGAAAGCTACATCCAACCCAGAGCAAACATGACAAAAAGGAATTTGATGATAGAGAATAGAATAGAAAATTGTTTGAATTTTCAAGCCTAACAAGGGAAGAAAAGAGGGGGCTTGAGCTTGTAATTGTGTATTTGTGATTTATGTAATTCAGAGTCCTTTAAGTAAATTTGCACCTGGTTTTTCTTTTTTCTCAATAAATGAGCTTTTGAATTTTTGGCATCGAACATGTGAGAAATCCATACATGCATAATAAAGTTGCATATATTTGTTTATATATATTATGCATATATTTGTTTAATTGATACGTGTAAGAGTTGAACATTTGTAGATTAATAATATTAAATTAATCATTTTTAAAAAAAATAATATTAAAAATAATATTTGAAGATTTCCTACTTATATTATTATTTTATTTATTAATTAACCAACATAAATATATAGAAATTCATATAAATCTAACACATAAGAAAGAGTTGTTCAATTCCACAGACAAAAGAGGAAAAAAAAATCGACTCCACTGGGGATCGAACCCAGAATCTCTGGTTCCGTAGACCAGCGCCTTATCCATTGGGCCATGGAGTCTTGGATGCTGCAAGCGATACATAATTTACTCATCTTCGTATGGTCATCACGATTATTTTATTATTTTCAATTTTCTTTTGTTCTGCAATTCAATCATAGAATTTAACCCATATATATATATATATATTACACAAAACTAAAACTTAAAAAATAAAAAAATAAAAATTTAGAATTAAATAGTACTAAGAACTGTAAATATGAAATAATTCCGAAAAATAATAAGTTTTACCATTTTCTCAAGAAATTCTAATGATTATATGAAAACCATGTTACATATTAGCCAATTAGAATGTTGTTTTTAAATGTTGTTATGATTTTTTTTCAATAAAAATATATATATTCATCACTTGAATGATATATATATATATATATAGACACAGAGTACATTTCGTTTCGAATCTACAAATTTTTATAAAAGAATTATATTAATCGCGTAGTTAATTAGTGATTAAAGTAAAAATTAATTAAGAGAGAGATGCTTGGCAATGATTAGAGACAAGGATATGCTGTTAGGTTAGAGAGTCCAGGGTGTTTCAAAGTTAAGTGGAGTGAAGTAATAATAAGACAACCAGCACTAATCAGCTGGCAAACTTAATTACTTAGAACTTAATCCATCTTTATAAAGAGGATTTGAAGCCCAAGTGTTCATTCCCACACAAGAGAGAACTCACTACTTCCAGTCTAGAGAAATTTGTAAGTAAAGAGAGATGGAGGGTAGCAAAATGGCAATAGTTTTTATCATCAACATTATGATTATTCTAGGGCTTTCTGTAATTGGAGTCAATTCTGCAGTTGAAAGTGCTGGAGAAATTTCACCCTCACCCATGCAAAGTGCTGGATCGATTGTCGGAGTTTCTGCTGCACTTGCCGCTGCAGCTTCTCTGTTGGCCTTTTTTATTTGAGTTCTTCAATTCATCATTGATTTGTTTTGAAGGATTCATCTATAAGTTTATTTCAGCATCATTGATAACAATGTAAGAATCATGTCTTTTCCTCATTTTCTCTGTTGGAGAATCCTATTTCTTTGATATAACATTTATTTCTCGAAGTTACAAAATTCTATACTTTCGAGGTTGTCTCAATCCACATCTTATATTCTTAATTCACACATTGTATTGGGTTTGTCCCACTCAATTATCACTTCTAATACCCTCTTTTGAATTAGCTATCTAGGATTTGTTCTTGAGAAGAGGCAACTGTCAATACTAATCAACCCTTCTAACATAAAATAGAATCACAAAATCACCCTAAATTTTCAAGTAATGGCACAAAATATATAACCATATCTACAGCCTTTATGAACTGGAATACATTGTAACGAGAGTCACTTGACTATCTATATAAAAACAGGAAGTCATTCGAAAAACAAAAAAGAATTGGAGAAATAAGTTTGAAAATATTACTCTGCATGCATAGTATTACACCTATTAAGTCATCGATTTTCAATAGAACTGAAAAGATCCTTGTATGAGCGCTTTGGGGCATCAACACGAGACACTATCTCCACAACTTTGAAAGACGATTCAGAATTAAGTAATGCCTCAACAGCAACTTCTGCGACTTGGTCTCTAGATATGCTGCCTTCGTAAAGAGTATCCTAGCAAGGAAGAGAGGGGGGGATAGTTTGTCATCACTTCATGAGAAACAGCAAAAGAATAATCACAAAGATCTTGCTAAAATCCCATTTTAACTCCTAGTAACGAAAGAACGTAACAATAACAATAACATCATATGTTTATAGGTGGCCTTATTGCTACTCTTTTCTGATTCCCAAAAATAGAATTAGTATTTATATATCCTTTTAGTAATGGTATCTTGAGTTTGATTTAAATGTATTCAATTCTCATTCGATTCATACATTTCATATATAGAAACTTGGTCATAATTTACATGTTTGGTACATAATTGAATTCACTCTACCCATATCTCCAATTCTGATGATGAATTTGTATTCTCACTTATCAATGAAAAAATCACAAGAACATCTAACTTAAACTGGACATGAAATTGACTTATAATTTAGAATGTTATTTTATTCAACTTCTATCTCTTTTATGTTGTATTCCCATTCTTATTTCGAAAAATGAAATTTAAACTAAACTCAACAGTAGTGTTATCGTTCCAAAAGAGATTAGATGAATGTGATTACCTCAGGCTCCATGACAACATTCCCTGTTGGAGGTTCATTTCTCAGTCCACCAGGCCTTATAATTGTATAGTTAATACCAGATTTTCTGATATAGTTTTCAGCTTGAAGCTTCGCTATCAAGGTTAGTCCAAAAACATTGAGAAAGATGTAAGCAGGATTAAAAATCTGCCCCATTGCAGCTCCATTAACTAAAATGGAGCTAATAAGTACGAATCTGTTGACACCCTTTTTACGGCATGCTTCCACGAGATTTACTGTGCCAAAATTATCAACCTGAAATGGAATGATCTTCATAAACTACAATAATCTAAACCATAAAACAGTTCCATAAAGAAAAGTTGCAGCTGACCTAGAAACACAAGAGAACACCAAACTAACAACTAGCAAACTTTCAAGTGGAGGATAAAAATTTTCCTATGCAGGATAAATTGCTGGATAAAGCTAATCGGTAAAATTTACAGGAAAGAAGTATTCGACACATTCTCTGCAGATGCAACTTCAGCTAGCAGATACAATTTGGAGTGAGATGGGAGGTCTGGTGACATTCTTCATTTGGCTAACTCCGGCAACTCTACTGTATCAATATAAATAAGCCAGTCTACAGGTATCAAGTTATACCATTAATTAGCTCCACAAGTGTTGCTTGTAAAAGAAGAAATTAGGCTATGTTAGCCACATGAAAGCCTTTTTTACTTCTCATTTCTTAAGTTTGTATATATTTACACATAAAAGACATCCACGGTAGTTAGAGATGAAAAAGAAAGTTAAAGATGGCATTAAAATGAAGATGGAGTTTAAAAAGAATAAAACTTGTTTTTAGTGCTTTATAGAAAACTGTTGTTTATACTTGATCACTTTACAAAAAGACAGCACTATACATGTTTTTACAAATAGACAAGTGAGATTAGTGAGAGATCAGTAGGAATGCACTAACAAAAGCAGTAAACAAGGAGGGGAAATTAATGAAACTTTACAAAAGAATTTGGCAAATGCATAAACTTGTAACAAATAAGTAGTTCAAGGGCATTAATTTTGCAATATCAGAACTTAGTTTAACCTGTTGCACGATCCCTTTCTAATATTTTTCTTCCTCTTCAACATGCTTTGAATTACTACACTTGTTTTCAGTCTCATGGTTCAACAACCTCAGCACTTTTATATGACAATGATTTTGAAAATCCTCAAACCAGCACAGAATTTTTTTTTTAATCCTGAATTCAGCCAACACGTTTTAAAACCATGGCAGTGCTTCATGAAGTAAAAACATTTAATAAGGCTGGCAACTAATTGTTTAAGCTAAGTATATAAAAGAGATCAATTGGTAGTACATTACTCCTCTCACAGAGACGTGCTCTTCCTGAAAATGGAAGAGTTGCAGTCACAGTTATGGTGTAAGCTTAAAAGGTTGATGTACTTCATTTTATAACCAGCAGGGATTAAAGTTCCAAGAAGGAATTGGAGTGCGCAAATTCAAAAGTTATAAAGACTAACAGAAGAAATCAAAAGGCAATCTTGGTTCCTCAAAAGAAAAAAAAAAGAACAAAAAAGCACAAAACTAGTTCCAAAATTATTGCCAGCAGCATATTTAATTTCATACCATATATTCCTACTTCTGTTACTTGAATGAATTTCAATATTGAAAAAAGTAATGAGAAAAAGTAAATAGGAAATGGGACATTAGAAACGATACATACAGTATAAGTGAAATAAAATAGTATATCAACTGTATTGAAAAACAAATGAATAAGTAGATAATTGACCTTCCAAGGGGCAAATAAATCCCAACCCGGCTTAAATCCAGTAGCGCATATGACAGCTTCAGAATCATCACCTATAGCTTCAGATAACTTAGCAGAACCCTCCGTTACATCTGCTTTCACCTGCAACAAATTTAAGGACAGTGAATTTACCCAATTCAAGCTAAAATTTTGTATTGAAAAAATGATGAAACTAACAATTTGGAGGGCTGGGTTGTCGTCAGAAAGCACAGTTTTCGCCTTATCTAAATCCCAAACCCCGGCCTTGACTTCAAATCCCCTCGACAGCAGCTCCCTGACGATCCTTTTCCCTGTACTTCCTGTAGCTCCGGCAACAAAAATTTTCTTCTTCACACTCTCATTTACTACTTGGGTTGTGTCTGTAAATTTCTGGGTGATTTCACCACCCTCCATCTGACAGACGAATGAGAAGAGAAAGTGGTTGGTTGCTGAGAAAACGCGGGAAAATAAAGGAAAAAAGGGAGTTGTGGGAATTGGGTAGCAGTGTTACCTTGACTGAAAAGGAGAGAGAGGTGGTTGCAGAGAAGGGTCTAGTGAATGGGAGAAGGTATGGAGCCGAGGTAGAAGAATATCTGAGAAGGAGAGGATTGGCCATTGATACACGTTTTCTTTTGTGTACCAGAAAAACTCCAAATGGATGTTAGTGATGGACTGTATTTCGTGGGTAGTCCAAAAACCATCAATTGATTTATTAATGTCAGTAAATATTTTCTGCTGTAAAAGCCATTAGAGGGAAGAAGAGAACAGTTGGGATCACAAGAAAAGAATATCTGAGTGTAGTGTGGCAATTGACGATTGAACTATTAATTTTACAAGATTCAGAGTGTAAATTAATTTATTAAACTATACAAATTTCAAAAAATCTATTTTTTTTTTCCCTTTAGTTTGAAATATATATTATCATTTTTGGTTTCATTTTGTTCTAAAATAAAATAGGAGATTGATTGTCTTCAGATCACTCAAAAACTTAATTCTCTTTGACTTGTTTTTTATTCACAAATGAAGTTACATCAATTTCAGAGTTAGAAAAGAAAAAAATTGATTTAACCCTTGGAGCAAAATAACAAACAGATTTAAGACAGGCAGGGATTTATCAATTGTAAACTCAATAAACAAATGATCTAATTTTAATAAATTCATTAGATTTTTCTTTTATGTATCTGCCAAAACTGTCATTAACTGATGCAGCTTGTAAGGCCAAGAAATCTAGAGGTTTAACAAAAAGGAATTTAGTACATATCCCATCCCCCAAAGACAATCAATGAACTTAAGCTATGAAACATATACATGCATAATTATGATGTGCTCCGGGGATACAAATTGTTTCTCTTTTTTGTTAATGTGATTAGGGTAAAAGAGATGTTGTGTCCACCTTTGGTTTCAAATTCCACTTTTCGACGAACCTCTAGTTACATCTTCCGACCTGCATTTTCCCCGGAGCTCTTCTTCCTCAAATTAATTGCTTCCAAGTCATTTGCTGATATATAGAAGTATGTTAGCACTTAAACAAAAAAGGGGCTAGTACTACAACTTAATCCATTAGATTTGCCACCGACCCAGTAAGGCCACTGGATCAATATTTACAAGTTTTCTTCCATTCCATTCGGTATCTTCATCTTCATCTTCATCTTAAGATTACCCATTATTCCAAAAGGCATGCAACCTGATAGAATTACAAAATACCTTTCTATATACCTAACAAACACATACAAACATGTACATTCGATACAAAGCATTAACTCAGGATCATCCATCTCTAGATTACATTGCATACCTGCTTAAGTAATTGGATGTCCTTTTCGTCATCCCATTACTTCATATAACATGCACTTTTCCATCAGTAATCATTACTTTGTTATCGTCTTGGAGTTTCTGGTCAAACACAAAGAATAAACTCTAATCATTAACGCTCACAAATGGCCAAGTCCACATTAAAAACAAGTCATATATACAGCTTAACAGCCAGAGAGAAGAAAGAGGGAGAAAGTGATATGGTGGTGTTACTAAACATCACTTTACCTCTAAGAAAAATGTTATGTCAGCCCTCGAATAATGAGCATCTGGTCCAGCATTGACAACCTTCTCTAAATCTGTAATGGATATTTCGTCCAAGCGATTTGCCCTCATATGATGACCAAATACTGAATTAAATGCTTCCAATCTGCAGTCATCAGAAAATAGGAAAAAGATAAGAGTGAGAACCGTTATACAGGAACTGAAAACCATAAAGCTAAGAAAACCAGTATACAGGTGCTGAAAGAAATAAAGTTAAGCCAAACACGCTTAGAGACTCACTTGCTTGGTAAGTCACATACCTTTCAGGAGTGATGTCGACAGTATATTGGTCATCAGAAGGTTCATCTACTTCCATGGCATCTTCCGTTAAACTAGTTAAGGAAATAATAACACAATCAGCAAACTGATAATGAGGCTTCCTTCAACTACCAATACTAAGATAGTGGCAAAAAGTTAGAAAGAGTTGAAAGAATTTCCTGTAATAAAACTCCAGTGATATAGAGCACCCCTAGCCCAGCTAATATAAGAATATGAAATACTATGGCACAAGTATTGGCCAAAACCCTGTTAGATGCAGAGATAGGAGATCCAAAAATAGTATGAGCATTCAATTTTTTCATGATCATTGCTTCAGAGACCATTTCAGGTGAATTTGATTAGCAACCATTAGAGCTTGACATTACCCACATTGCATAGGCCACAGCACACAGAAAATGAGGTCAAATTACGGGCCATTCACAATTTGTATTGTCCAGCAAACTAACTTAAATAATTTTTTGCTTCATGGCATGGGATCTGAGTATATAGATATTAAAAAGAGAACAGTAACTCTATTTTTGGCTCTATCCAAATTTGCTGGACAAACACTTCTGCACATGCTTGGTTCAATCATCCAAAAAGTTTAATGCAGACTGCAAGTTAGTATCTTTTGTAACCTGAGAAGTCTTTATTGACACTGTACCATTTATATCATGCATTAAATAGTACTAATACAATAATATATGTTCCTAAAACTAAAATTTTTTAAAGAATATCTAAATCATAGGCAAATTATTTCAAGAAAATTATCTGAAGAGCATGCAACAAAAATTGACATCTGTACAAAAGTTTAGGCATGTTAGGCAGTATCAAATAAATGTTCTTCCAAATGGTCAGCAATTAAGCATCCTCTGTAAAGATGAAAATTACTCCAAATGAGTCAAGCTTATCATAGGGGCTTCATATTTCAACCATATTAGAATGCAAATGCTGTAGAATGACAAATACATGGTGCATGATCACTTGGGAGGAGGTTAGGCATTTTACAACTTGAACACATCTGAGCAATAATTTTACTGTATTTTTATGAGCAACTGACAAAAACAAAATATAGGTTTTCGTGCACTCACCCCTCTCCATCAGCGGTATTTTGCGCTGCCCTACGACTTCTACGGGGGTTATGCTCAGTTCTTCTTGTTCTCTCCAATTCTTCTAATTCCTCTCTCTCTCTTTCTTGTTCTCGTTCCTCCATCTCAGTCAATTCTTTATGATATATAGCAAAATTAAGAATTTTCAAGGCAGATTCAACATCAGATTTCAAAACCTGTCAAGCAAATTTATGAACCATTATTAGGTTAGAAGAAGATTTCCAGATCTCAGTTATATGCAAACAGTGGAAAGAAGCCATAAAATAGAGTAAGATGCAAGTAAAAACTACAAACATGAAAGTCACCATTCTTTTTAATTGCATTGATAAGAAACACATTAGCAAGGAGAAAACAATCTAAGAGACTGAATATTTAACAGATTCTGTAATGTCAAAAAAGAGCAAAAATAAATGAACCTTTCTGCTCAACTTCAATTTGGCATGCGCAGTTGAGAGTCGTATAATTGTTTCTAATGTTCTGGCAGTTATGGGAAGTGTTCCCCCAGTCTGGAACATAGAAATATCAAAGACAATAGCATATACAAAGCATCATTTCAGATATCAAAGTAACAATAATTGCATTAATAATGTTATGAGATTCCTTTAACAGGGCTACCTTTGCATTTGAGCTTGTATTTCGAAGCTCTGCATATGCTGTTGCAATATGTTCAGATGCCTGGAAATAAGCCAAAAGAATCAGCAGTAAATATAGAAATCATACAAGGTCAAATGGGAAGAACACTAGCTAAGATCCTGGAAATGAATATTTAGCCATGCTAATTTGCACGAGAATATGGTTGATTGTCAAAGAATGGCATAATAAACCAAACATTAAAACAATAAATCACAACCTCATCAGTGAGTTCCGGCTGAATACGATTCTTTGCATAATGGATGTATTTCTTTAGGAACTTGATGGTAAGTGTATCACGCTTGCGACCCCTTTCTGTTTTCTTTCCATGGAGCATTCGATTATATTTAACAAAAACAGATGAGTCATTATCAGCATCATCTTCTCTATCATATCTTGGACCTCCATCAAGTGCCGCCTCACCTACATATTTAAAGGAGATTGGTTCAGCATATTTAAATGAGATTGGTTAAGCAGCTTTACATACAGTACAGCCCACAAGTTCTTTAAAGACCCAGGAAAGCTGCTGACCTACCGCCATCAGATCTTGAAAGGTAGCGGTGCATGCGGAGGACGTGCTCTGATATTTTATTGTCAATAGCAGGGTCCATTTGATCCAACACAATAAATAGTAGATCAAAACGTGAAAGCAAAGAGTCTGGAAGTCCAATATTTTTTGTTGGAGTCAATGAGCGGTCATACTGCATATTCAACCAATGGTAGGTAGAAAATCAATATAGTCATCCGAGTAAACAATACTTGCATCTGCTAGTTTGTCCAAAACAAGTTCATAAAAACAGCATCAAAGTTTGACTTACTGTTCCATATATGGGATTTGCAGCAGCCACAACACTGCACCGAGCATTCAGAGATGCATGGATACCAGCTTTAGCAATTGTTACAGTTTGTTGTTCCATAACTTCATGAATGGCAACACGATCTTGATCATTCATCTTATCAAATTCATCAATGCAAACAACACCACGATCAGCAAGAACCATTGCACCAGCTTCTAGTCTTCTTTCTCCTGGTTAGACGTAAATTAACTTTGATGCATAAGCACCATTTTTCATGAAAGTCTTGCACATAAATTGATGGCTAACCTGTTTCTTGATCAGAAGTAACAGCAGCTGTCAAGCCAACACCCGAAGAACCTCTGCCAGTGGTTGATATGGCTAAGGGGGCAATACTCATAATTGCTCTTAAAAGTTGAGACTTGGCAACAGAAGGATCACCAACCATCATCATGTTAATATCCCTAAAAATTATCAGCATCAAGTTTTTGTAGTTAAAAGGCATAAAAGAAGGGAGAGAAATCAAAGAGTCCCCTCTTTGTAGATGAGATTATGATCTCTTGACTGCCTTATCAATTAGTGATATAAATATCATGATGTCAGTGAAATTCTTAAAACTGACTCACCCTCTTAAATGAGTCCCATTCTTCAAATTCTTTTCCATCCCTCCAAGCATCAGTAAAATCACTGCTTTCTTTATCCAAGAATGCCCATATATAGAGGGTGCTAGAGAATTGCCAAGTAGATCAAATGTATCATCTCTTTCTGCTATCTTTTTAATGTTTTTCAAGTCTTCAGGACTGTATATTGGTGAATTGGCTTCTTTATTTAGTAGGGAGACATTGTTGGCGATAAGAACAGTCCTACATGTGTTGAACACTCAGTCAACATCATAGGGTAGAAGATATTACAAAGAAATTGTTAGTCGTAGACCAACCTGAAAACTCCATTCACGCTGCCCTTGCTTTTCCCTGGAAGTGCCTTATATACCCCAACAATTGAGACACGATCTCCTGGCTTGCACGAATCAACCAGATCATCCTCAACTATAGCATCAACTGTTCGTGGGAGTTGACCCGGGGCAGAATTTTCAGGTACTTCTTGTATTGACAAGGTCTGATGATCTTTGTATTTGCACAACCCATACTCAGTAACCAACAGGTTGCCATTTTCATCCTAAAACCACAGTCCCATGAGAGACAATCCTCTGGATATATTAAAAAAATTATGAGCGAAACACCTGACTTACCCTGGTAGGATAAACAGAACCAGTAGGCAAGCCAATGTTGGACGTTATGTCTCGATATTCGCGGGTGGTGAAGTTTCCAGTTGAGGGGCAGAAGTGAACACTTTTAACAACCTTTGGCCTGACAAGTGAACCTAAAATCAAGATATCTGGAGGTCATGTATCTATACTACTTCAAAACTCAGTCGCTTAGTTTCACATCAGAAAAAGAACAAGGTGCAAAAAACATCAAGCAGGAATTCCAACAAGTGAAACACAGTTATTAATTTTTAAGAATGGATATCAGCATTAAATAATACTAAAAATTGGGACTTAATGAACAGGAGAACCTAACAACAAATATCTATTGAACTATTTCTTGGTTAACGATAATGTTCTCTTACTGGATTCAAGACTACGCAAAATATAGAAATATAACATGGATATCTAGAGAAGTACATTTTGTGACAATGCCCTCAACGCAGACCATGGATCCAATAAATTCTGACAGAAGTTCTCTTGGAGTGACGCGACGAGAAACAAAAGGGCCTTCAAAGCCCACAAGAACTTGCTCTCCTTCCTTCAAGTACTTTGGGTCAATATTGCGGGTAACTTCAGTAACAGCATCACAAAATGACTGCACATATTCACCTGGACTCTTAAGAATCCTAAAGAAAATAACAAGGAATCAGTATCAAACAATTAGTAAGGAAAATAAAAGAGCAAATTCATTGTAGGTGGCAGGGAAACCGTAATTGGTAAAAACCTAATACTTCTAAGTTCTGGGTTCACAATTAGCTATTCAAGGGAATGAAAAGCCCGTTCAACTAAGATGCAAGAAAATTAATTGCACCAAGCAAGTGCATCAATTTCCGTTTCCAACCAAATAAAAAGCAGAAAACCAATTTATCTTCACTTATTTCTTTCAGTTCCACGCAATCAAACAACTTAGCAAGAAGAGTCCACCGTAGTTGCTAGAAACAAATTGAAAAGCTCATGTACACAAACCAAAAATTCGTTCTACCCAAAACAGCAATTTTGCTCACTCGAATCAGCTACATCAACTTTCAAAGTCAAGTCAGTGAAAGTATGAAAGAATGAAGGAGACTGTTTCGGTTAGGTTATGAGGATAATCAGGCTCAATTACTGGTGTTTCTCTTCAGCACTTGAAGCGTATTGCTAGTATCATCTTCCGGAACCTAAATGAAGCCTAAATAAGAAATTGAATTAATTAGTTAAAAATCGCATTATTAAGTTCTTGACAGAGATTGGTTTGACATTTCCTTCGAACAATCAACACAAAAGGGAAAAAGAACCCTTCAAATTACGGATTAATGGAGGTGAACTTTTTATTTTCTGGGTAAACCAGAAGGCTCAATTAAGCCTTCGAGATTCTGACCAATTCGCCCATTTGATGCCAAGCTTGTACCTTTGACATCGACTTTCCCGGGGAAACAAACAGAAAGCGCAAGAGAAGGAGCAGGGAACAAACCTAGGAGCAGAGTCACGATAAAATGAGTGGAGATCAGAGAGGTTGACAATGAGGCGGCGAC